GAGAGAGAGAGAGAGAGAGAGAGAGAGAGAGAGAGAGAGAGAGAGAAAGAGAGCAAGACGCGGAAATTACAAGAGAAAATTCCATTAACGTTTTAAAAAAAGACCCGTAATATGATCGGCCATTGTTCGTCGCTTGGGGTACCGACTCCCCTCCTCCTTCCCCTCTCCCCCTAACTTCTCCCCGCGGATTCATATAACGCGTCCCTTCTTGCAATAATATCCCACGTATTACCGATGTTCAGCATGCGAGTCGCGCTGGGTGGATGGCAAAATGATTGTTTTACGAGTAGTCCCATCGCCTCGTTCGCTGAAATCTCTCGGGGTGCGGGCGAAACATTTTCTCGTAATACCCGGGGTTCTGATGTAACGCGAAACGACGCAAACGACTTTCACGAGCGTGTCCGCAGAAACGCGCGCCCGCAAACGCCCGAGAGAGGAGAGATGTCTCTTAATACGTCTTTGATAACGAGATTGTCGGCATCGCACCGATATTCGGCCGATAGCCGAAGCTGGTTTCCGCTAGCGTCTTGGTAAATACTTGGCGAAGCGAGCTATCACTTCTCCTCTGATTCCGCGCCGAGATTTTCCCGTACGCGTTAAATTTAGTGGAGAATCAATACCGGTAACGGAAGCAAGGGACTCGCCCCGTTATCTTACCGTTGTTTAATGCAGCTGCGATATTTTTGTGTAATTTCTGCGCGCGCGCGAGAGTTACGAAAGACTGTGATAATATTTTCATCTCTCCCGAAAGAACTCTGCCGATCTCAACGTGATTGATACGTATTTGCTTGTCTTGAAACTTTAATCCGTGCAATTGGCATCCAAATTGCATCATTTAAATCGAAGTTAGAGAAAAAAATATTTGAAAATATATTTATTTTTTAAAAGTTGAGATTTTTTAATTAAGAGTTTGTTTTTTAAGAGTTATTTTTTACGTGCGAGTTCCACTGCAATAACGTTGCTTTGCAATGGAAAAGAATATGCAAGAAAAAAAAAGATACCGATCCTGCCAGGATTCGAACCTGGAATCTTCTGATCCGTAGTCAGACGCGTTATCCGTTGCGCCACAGGACCATTGAAGGTTCATCCTCAATGTGTACAGCTTTCCGCATGTTCTGAATAGGTTTCTCAAATGACAGTAATTTATTGACCTAAACAAAATATATGCAGCAATTTGCTTTTATCATAATTAATACATATTTCGAAAATATAGTCTACAAATTTTTATACATCTAATAAATTCAGGAGTCGACATTTTTCTTTCTCTTTAATATATTTTATATTTCGTAATTACGCACATGACAGCGTAAACTGCATAATTAAAATAGATTAAATTAGCCAATTGAAACAGTTGACA